TTTTTTTACCGACATATTATTACCGACATAATTGGTAATTTTTATTGACCCTGCGATCTGTTTTTACCGACATATCTTTCCACATATTTTTTTAACATAATATCGATATAATTGACCGTTTCATCAATCCTCCCCTTTTCGACGTGTTCGAGGTCTTTCCCCTCCTTCCTGTTGGCAGCAGTTCGCGAGCGGGCTGCGCCACCCACTCGCCTTTCCCCCTCTCCGGCTACCCGTCCGCGCGCCGTCTCCTAGAATATTCTCGAATATTCCAGAAAGTTCGAGACCTTTTGAGAACATTCGGTCCCGAAAAAGAATTTTATCTAATGTGTGCCCACATAGAGACACTTTGATGGGAAGTAAAAGAGACATCCTTTTAATTTTTATCTTCAACAGCCCCCGAAAAAAAGAATTTTATCTAACACTAATGTATGAGATTATCGCATACCTACGCAGAAACTTGGAGAAAGCTGATGGGAAAACGTCTCGACATCCAACGGCTTCTGCAAACTGACAAACCATCTCCGCTATCGATTCAAGATTTAGTAGTGGAATTTTGTAAGATGTGCAATTCTAAAATTATATTTCTTTTTCAAAGATAGAAATGGAAGTAAAAGAGACATACTTTTTAAATAAAGTAATATATTTTTCAGAGTGTTATTTCACTTATTTATAGCCTCATACATAATATTTTTCAAGGTGCACGCTAGCAACTCGCAATCAACGAGCGACTCACAGTCATAGTCGTTGCTTTCACATATCGCTTTTGTCGCATGATATATTTTAGTAATGTCCTTCTCTCGAAGAACATTTACAAAACTTCGGAATTTTACACTAACAAGATATTTTCAGACAACCGTACATACATATGATCGATGCAATTTTCATAAGTAAATAATGTGTTCATAGTAGCAGGTTTCAAATATAAAGACTTATTAGATAATGTAAGTTTTATAATTTTAGAATTGCGCATCTTACAAAATTGTACTACTAAATCTTGAATCGATAGCGGAGATAGTTTGTCAGTTTGCAGAAGCCGTTGGATGTCGAGACGTTTTTCCATCAGCTTTCTCCAAGTTTCTGTAGATAATATTAATTGATTACCGCAATTGTCACCGATGATTATTTCCACGGTAGGCACAGGTCCTACGCTGATCCCAATCTCCAAATATTTGTACGACGTTGCAGTCAGAGCATATCTGCGTTCCAGGATACGAACATTATGGCACCACATTTATACATGTTGTCGAGCGCCGTCTAATCTGGCTGCTGATAACGAATACGCTATAGTTGTAGCAAGTAAAAGGATATACACATTCTTTAGATAGGGCGTAACACAAGATTTTAGTTTGAGTTTCTTTGACAACTTTGGGGAAAACTTTGGGGGCGCACATAGGAAATAAAACATATAAAATCAGGAAGATTTTAAGCGCGCATTTAGTCTTCAGCCTCAGACAATGATAGACATCGAACGCGAGCAACAAGTTCTTGCTGAAGACCATACCAACGACAGCAAAAAAATAAAAGTTTTTAAGTATGCCATGTCTATATGCGCAATAGAAGAGCATATATGATATAGTTAAAAATGGGTGATAATCTTCCAGTCGAAGAAATATTAGACGATGAAGAAATGAATGATATGGATGTGCAACCGATAAATGGCAACAACGACGAAGAGTTTCCCGAAGTGATGGAAATGGACAACAATTCGAAAGAATACTCGATGAAGAGTCATTCGAACATCTGAAGAACTTATACTTGCAGGCGACATCGCCTGATTATCATAGTGACTGTAATGACCAATTTATGGAAAGAACTGATAAATTAATACATAATTCAGAAATTAATGCGCTGAATGGACTTACAAAAATGTGCTGTATATATTTTTATTATTCTACAGGAGGTAGTTTAGCATTATGTACTTCATGTATGTTGCGAATGACAGATTTATTCACACATATGTATGCAGTTCGGAAGCATATAATTGAGATATATGATGCGATAGACGGAAGATTTTGTTCAGATTGCAAAGGACCACTGTTTCAAATACTTCCATGCAATTTGTGTCCTTTATACATCTAAGGACGTTCTAAAGAAGAATGGATACTAGAAGAAAGTGACTGGTCAGCTATAAAAAAATCAAAAAATTAAATTGTGAAAGTGCGTTTGTGAAAAAAAAAAAATGGAAGAACTCGCGCGAGTTGAACGTGAACTGCAGGAGCAGTCCTCTCGATTGAGTTCGCGAGAAGAATACATTGCATGGGTGCAAAAGTGCGACGAGTGCATCGAATCGTTGCAAGGACATAGTCGAGCGAAACGACCGAGATTATCGATCGGTGTTCGACAATCGTTGGTTGCTCGAATTGCGCGACTGGAGGGACTAAAACATTCGTTGCGTTTAGTGCATACTGGTGCCAGACATTTAGGACTCTTGTGGCGTGAAATAGACACTGCTTTCAATAGCCGCAATAATAACCGTATTAACTGGTGCAGTTTTAAATATGAGTTATATCGAATCTCTTCGATTTCTCCAGAGTGCGAAGAACATAGTGCTCATGTGTAAAACGAAGGACATGTGTAAAACGCTATCGAGAGACACGTGAATCTCAAAGTGAACACTGTGTTTAAAAGTGAGTTCGTCGCGAGTGAAAAACGTGCGAACAAAAGTATTATGACGAAAAGCTTTGAACTCTTTTCCGCATCCGATCTCGAAGAGTGGTATGAGCGACGTGTTATTGAGCCCACCTTGGCATCGCTGGAGGAATTCCAGGAATGCGATAGCGGATTGGCATTGTTGAAAATACTCAATCTTACGGTCAATGTGAAATACAAATACAATCCTTTGCATGCGGAGTATTACATTGAGTTACCACGTGAAATACAGTTGAAGCGAGCTGTAATTAATGTGAAATCTGCGGATAATACATGTTTTACGTGGACGGTGGTCGCTGCTCTTCATCCAGTCGAAAGACATACAGATCGAGAATCTTCGTACCCACATTATACGTCGATATTAAATTTACAGAACATTGAGTTTCCGATGTCTGTAAATCAAATAACAAAATTCGAACAACAAAACAATATATCTATGAACGTGTACTGTTTCGAAAAAAAAAACGGGAAAGGAATCGAGACATGTAATCTTTCCGATATGCCTCACCAGCTGCAAGATGGACAAACATATCAACTTGCTGCACATTTCGGATCCTCGAGACCACGGGACATTTGGCTTGGATCAAGAACTTAACCATAGAAGGAGGAAGGCATACTAGGTGGCGGCGGGACGCCGTGCGTTCGAGATCTGCGTATCTTTTTCGTTCCAGAAAGAGAAAAATATCGAGAGCGCAGTCTTGCTAGGCCGGGACACGAACCCGGGTCTTTCGCTTGCCGGGCGACTGCTCTAAACCACTGAGCTACCCGGCTCGTGAGCTTGCAGTTGAGCAAGTATAAAGTCAGAAAATATATTTGCGATCGGTAAGTACATTTCATGAATTCAATGTATTGGAAGTATGAGACGATAGTAAATTGCAATGTTTTATAGATGCCTGCACTATTTCCAACGAGAAGCTAGAGAGTCACACCACAGACTGCAAAAAATTAAACGACTGCGCCATCCTGCTATCCAGCGAGGACAACAAGTGGCTAAACTTTCGCAATTACAGCAGGAAGAAGCGAGTTCCATTTGTGGTGTATGCCGACCTTGAGTGCATCTTACAGAGGACGGTAAGTGAGAAGGAAGAGGAGAGATGTACATCGCACGCGTATCAGCATCACAAAATATTTAATATAGCATATTACTTGCGTTGCTCATACAATAATTCATTGTCATATTTTCGGAGCCGTCACGATACGGATTGTATTTCGTGGTTCGACGAGCAACTCGAAGAGTTAGCGCACCGCGTAAAAGTAATTTTGTGTATCAATACCCCCATGGAAACTTTGTTGAAGGAACAGTCCCTTATAGAAATATCATACTAAGAATCATCGATAATTACTTATTTTCAGTATTAAAAATACTGGATAATAAGTAATTATCAATGATTCTTAGTATGATATTTCTATAAGGGGTGGGCGCCATTTCATAACGCGACGCAATGTCACGTGTGCGAGAAGCCATTTGCGACAGAGGATACACGCGTACGCGATCATTGTCACTTCACCGGACGGTATAGAGGTCCCGCGCACTCAAATTGTAATTTAAATTACAAAAATTCATATCACATTCCAATAGTTTTACACAATTTATCTGGTTATGATTCACGTTTTATTATCAAAGAAATAGCTAACGCATTTGAGGAGTCAATCGATGTACTACCGATAACAAAAGAAAAATACATTTTGTTTACAAAGAACGTTCAAGATACAGCAAATAAATATAAAAATGTTGTAAAATTGCGTTTCATCGATTCGTAAAAATTTCTCAGCAGCAGTCTCGACAAATTAGCATCCTTTCTCACTAAAGACAAGTTAAAAATTGTACGGTCAGAATTTTCACAATTATCCGTCGAAGAATTTGATTTATTGACGCGAAAAGGTGTCTTTCCGTACGAATACGTGGATTGTGTGAACAAGCTGCAGGATGTGTGTTTACCGCCGCGAGAATCGTTTTACAGTTCGTTGACGGGCGATACGGTATCCGAGAGCGATTACGCGCACGCTGCAAACGTCTGGCAACGATTCTCTATTCGAACCTTGGGCGAATACAGC